TACTTCCTTTCATGACAACCCTCCCTCCATCTATCTTTTTTTTTACTTTTCTTCTTTTGCCACTCAATGCGCTTCTGGTGCCCTATATGCATGCTTCCGCAAGATGCACATTCTGTGTATCTACCGTAGCTCCTTCTGCCACGCATCGGTGGCCCGCTGCGGTACGCGAAAGTGTGAGGCTAATATCTGTCGATGTGCAACATTTATTTTACCATACTTTTTAGCATCGTGATCATGCTCTTGTTGCGGTATGACATTTTTTTTTACTTAATCAGCATTATATCGGAAAAAAACTCCATTTGAGGGAAACGTCGTTGAATACGCATAATAACTCTCTGCACTTCGGGCAATAATGCCTACATTGATCTTTATCACCTGGTGACTTTAAGTTCTTTGTCCAAATCGTTTGGACAAAGAACTTAAGGGGTAAACGAACAATGTGAAGTTTATTAGCGCAAAAGGACACGGGTAAGAAACGAGACCAGATGCCACGATCGCTCATCCTCAGCGAGCTTGTCGTCTGGTCTCCTCTTTTGTCTGGGTCTTTTTGCGCTGCTAAATCATTCACGCAATGCAACTTGCCCAATTTTCTATTCCTATTGAACAACGTCAAACATGTTTGGGGAAAACACGTCCTCTCGAAGCTCGTGGGAGAATGTAGCTAGTTTTTCTTTTGTCAGGCCTTTCAGTTTCTTCATTACGTCGCCTGATAGCAGGGAATTGATGCGGCGCAGCGTTCCATACGCTTCCCAAGAGATGACAGCTTTCATACATGTGAGGACATGTGTTTATTTATTCACTCCAAAAAATTAAAAACAAAAAACGGCCCCTCGAGGGTGTCTTGATTTTACTAAACGACGGTAATATCAAACAATAAAAGCAAGCGTATCATCTCTGGCTCTCAATGTGGCTCAACACAGTGACATGTTTCCTTTTTACTTCATTTTTCTGAGCAATTCAACGTTGTGGAAGCTGCCCGCATGGGAAATCGTATCGTGTCAGATCGTAATTGATATGTGTTACCCTATATACACTCTTTTTTTTGTTTATACGAGCTCATTTTCTTGTTCACGTACTGCACTCGTGCGTAAACGTTTTTCTCTCTTTCTCTCTCTTACATCGCTCCTTTCTTGTCAAAGGCACCTCGATGAAACTTTAACAACGGATTCCTCGAAGTGTGCATAAAGATTGCTAGCCCGGTAGCAACGTGAGTATAACGCTAATACGCCACTATGCTCGCTGATATCAGCGTCATTCGCGTCTGTTAGCTCATTTCGATGGTGAATTTCCCCTTCTCTTGTCTCTTTAATTGATAATTTGACGCAGATAAAAGACCGCACTATCAGCTCTGTACCGGCTTTTGTATTGTGTACCTGTACCAAACACAATATCTGAAGGCGTATGGGTGCTCGCTTCCCATTTTCAATGCGCGGTATGTCCCTCTGCAAGTGTTTCAGTATATTTGCCTTTTACATATCCCAACTTGTTCTTCGAAAAAATATGAGGGCAAAATGGCCACGTGGTTATTTTGGTGAAAGTACGGTGCCCAATTCGCAAAGGACTGAACTCCTTGTTGCATCATGTTTTTTTCTCAGAAAAGCAAATCCAATCAAATTCGTTGTGCAATGATAGCGGTGAACACAGCTGTCAGTCATCGCAGACGTGATCTTCAGATCTAATGCGACTGCTTAGCTTTGTCAGTACATTCAGGTAGCGAAAATAAGGGCATTTTCTACTATCAGTGTAGACAACTCGTCTTTCTCCTTGAAAGAAAAGTGCTATTATGTCCACATGTAGCCTAAGGTGTGCATTTGATGAAGTCACCGTGATTTATACTGGCTACTATTGGATCTTTTACTATTTGAGATGATATGAATCGCAAAATTTACAAAAGATATAAATCATGTGACCTCTGCGCGTTGAAGTTGCCATGAGCAATGAAACTCGTGTATGCGCCATGTATATGTGGATCGATTTCCAAATAAAACGGCTCGTTCAAAGTAAGTGCTCGTAACGTTTTCTTCTCTGTTGTCATTAGGCGCTCTTTAAAGCATCGCCACTAATCTGAAACGTGTCGATTAAGAATTTAAAACAGACTCTAAGTGCTAAAGGAACCGCGCACATTCCATGCACTGTGCTATATAATACGCGAAGATTTCATCAGCCAGCAAGGCAATGGGGCACACTAAGACAAGAGACGCCTCGTAGATCTTTTTCGAAGACATTGTATATGGACGGCGTGTTCAGCCTGCTATCAGCGAAGATCATTCATACTGGCGAGCTGAAAAGAGGCGATGCAAGCTGACAAAGCTCGCATTTCATTGTGCGGCAGCATAAAAAGATCAGAGCTTTATGACCAGTCCTCTTATGCCCTAGCGATAATTGTTACGGAATCGTTTACACGATTAGCCTAAAGGATTCATGGGGTTTCAAAGCACTGTTTATTGATAAGTATATGACATACTAATGCAGACGATACATGAAAACACTGATGCACTCACAAAGTTTAAAAAGTCCGCCTCATGGCTCACGTGCACTTGAGATATAAAAGCACTGCGTGACCGCGAGTCCCAGAGCTAATCGCGGAGTGGGTTAGATTGATCTTTGTCCGCAGGCCCCAAAAATTAATCATCCATGTAAGCCGTGAAATAGACATTTTGTAAAAAAAAAACAGTGTGGTGTATTCTGTGGCGTCATTTGCATTTAAAGCCCTGCCGTGTAAAACTGTTAAGACTGCTGAATATAAAATAATATGCCCTCCAAGAGGTGGACATAACACTGTACTTGCGCAGCCTCTTTGATGTCGTGTCTCTGCTTGCATGCGTAGTACGAGATACTCTTCACACAATGGCGCAGCACTATATACGTCAATTTATCTTTCCTTCATATGGTGTCGTGCGCGACCCGCCGCTCATCTGAATTTCCCTCTGTCGAAAACCATTACGTCTTATAAATGACGGAAATCCGTTGCGTGAGTGAGATAAGCGGGAGATGGTGAAAAAAGGAGAACAAAGTGTCAGTGTTCTCTTTGAGTCCCTCTGTGATCTTCTAAATGCGCTTTTATCCGGGCCGTTCTAGTCACGGACTTCCACTGTCTGTTGTATATACTACAAATGCAGTTCATTATTCTTGTCTATACACCTGCCCAATTTTTTTTTCGCATTTTGCAAGGGCATTTGGTAAGTCTTATCTATTGAGTTGATGAAAGTTCTCAACCACGAACTCCATCTTTGAGCTTCCACTAACTTTATCTACTGTTTTCTTGCGTCGTATTTTTTTCTTGTCTTTCTAGCTTTCAATAAACAATGACGTGTTTAAAAATAACAAAGGAGAGAAAGAAGGCTGTTGCCTTTTTGCATATTGTTGTTACAAAAACTCGGTATTAGTGTATTCAGGCTCACCGATGAATGAGCTCGGTCCCATTACAATATCTTTGACCTTCCTTTTCTCGACCCTCATCGATGTTTCAAGTGAAACGTCGTGCTTTCGCTCGTCTGCATAACAGATTCTCGATCTGTTGCTGAATATCTATAAGTTACTTATGTGCGTGTGTTATTTTTAATACTGTTTTTAGTACTTTCTTTATATGTGTTTAGCTTAATACTATTGCCATTTTGTAAAGTGTATTTTTAAGTAAGCGAGTATATTCGGTCGTACTGTTCATTATATTTCACTTACAAGACTGTGAAAAGCAACAGCAAAACCAAAAGAAAAAAATGAGGACGCCTGAGCTTGGCCTTCAAGAGCAGATCTCGATAGCGTAATCGAGCCTCATACGCATCGCCTTCTGAACTGCTAGCTTAGCTTTAGTCCACGGTGCATGCCTCAACCATGCCGTAAGAAAACGGCCGACTGTGCGCGTAACACTGGTCGTTTCGTAGCATCACTGAATGGCAATTGCAAGTACACTTATTTAGTGCCCACTACGTTATCATTACTCCTTTCGCGAATGAGCGAAAGGCCCAAACATATCTTAAGTACAACACGCAAACCTACACAGCTGTTCACTTTGATGATAGTTCTGCGTAATAGTTACGTGTGTTTCAGCGCTTCATAATGCCTATATACACGCACTAGTTGCTCGATCCACACCTTTTGCTGCCTGGCGCGATTGTACGCTTTTTTTTCCAGAGCAGTTTCAATAAATATTTTGGCTCTGTGATAGAAAAGCCGCTTGTCGCTCAGGCGGCCTAGATTTGAGCCTCACGCAGACACGGAATTTTTCAGTATTGATTTATTTCGCATCTCTTTCGATATTTCGGTTACAGACAAGATTATGATTTTTTCCTCACAACCCGCTATTTCCCCTCCGACGCCGACGCCAGAAGACAGAATTTCTGTAAAACGAGCCCTTTAACGCTATCGCGTCAGATAAAGGTGGTAAGGAGCTTGCTTTACCCAGTCAAAAGATGTTTTTGGTATGTTATTCTAACTACGACAATTAAATGTGGTCTTGGCTGCTATGTCCAAACGCATATCGAATAAAGCGGAGTTCCTTTAAAGACATCGAAACTTAAATCTGCGTTAACTATAATAATGCGCTGTGCAGCATACATCTGTAAAAAGCATTACCCTAGGTGAATACTTTTGCTGTTAGCTCAACGCTGGCTATACATACTTTCAAATGCGAAGCATTCCTTTGCCAACAAAAGAAATGGTGCCTGTCTTGATCTATCTATCTATCTATCTATCTATCCATCTATCTATCCATCTATCTATCTATCTATCTATCTATCTATCTTTCTATCTATCTTGTCCTTTATTCACCAAGGAGAAATAAATAAGCGAACACTAAAAAGAAGCGAGGGTGTTTTTTTTTTAATTTTATTAAAAGATGTATTTCAAAGTGATCTTGTCTTTAGCGATTATGTCTACTATTTATTACAATTTGGCACAGCGCTGCTGCCTACCAACACCGACCATCAGTATGTTGACCCACTTCATCATAATTCTTTAGACAGTCGTACCTAATGCGTGGTCCACTGCGATGCTTTCTGCAGAGCCTCCGGTCATCTCGCACTACGAGTTCCGCAAGGACATGCAGGTTGGCATGCGCATCAAGGTATTCTGCACTGTGGTCCAGGGCGACCCACCATTTTTATTCACGTGGCTCAAGGATGGCGTGCCGGTGGTGGAAAACGGCGCTCCGAGCTCTCAAGCTGCACTCAACGTGCACAACGAGCGTGATTACAGCATGCTGTCCACCGACAGCCTGCAGCTCGAGCACTCCGGCAACTACACGTGCGTGGTGAAGAACCAGGCGGCGACCACTGCCTATTCCGCTGTGCTTCGTGTCAATGGTACGTAATTTGGCACGCTACGCATGCGCCACGCAATTCACGTCGACCAAGAGCCGGCAATTGCTTAGGATTTTCAGATATAAATGCTCAATAGAGACAAGTTGTACATAAAAAAAAAAACTATAGCATCTTGTATTGTCCCGGGATTAGCTCGAGGCTTTTTTGACTTTTCCAGGCCATCGTTTCATTTTTTTTCTTTTAAAGCAGCAACCTCAATAGCCCTCTTCCTCATTAACTTTTTAGAGTACATAGTTGGGCTGACTTCCTGTCTGCGTAGACTGCTTCGTGCTCTTTTTTCGTTTATCTGTAAAGAAGAAAAACTTGCTGGCTCTCCTCTAATCGAGATAATATGTGAGCATCAAATGGCTTCCAGTAAAGCATATTTTTTCAAGTTGACATTAGTCCCAACCTTGATATGTGGGCCGTGGAGCGACGTCCTGAAAGCTTACAGAACCGTAACGAAACTGTTCTGAACTGAACCTCTTGGCAAGACTCGTCTCAGCCGAACACCGTCCGCTCAGGACCGAGTAGTCAGTAACGGCTGACCATCATGCATGGTTCGGTGGTGAGCGCAGGGCAGGAGGAAGTAATATACACCAGCGTTTCGTCGTCACCGCACCTTCGACAACGTGTGCTAAAAACATTTTATGCTTGAACACCACGGCACATATCGTGCATCCCTCGCTCACTAACCGGTGGAAGCAGCTTATGTTGTTTCAGAGCGAGTACATGCATATATATCTCAGAATCTTAACTTGTTAATCTATTCACACGCACGCACACAAACACACACAAAACCATGCATGCATGCCACTCAGCCAGAGTCTAAACCTTCAGATTTGCTCGGCCAAATGTCTAGTGCTTCGACATGCAACAACAGCAAAGGAACGTAATTTTTGTAACGCAAAGTTTTTGCGGTGTCAAAGGCTGAGCTTACTGTTTTATGCAGTGGAATAGTCACAGAAATCGAGTGCAGTGCGTGTCCAGAAAATTGAACACGAAGTCTGTCTGGGGCACCATTCCTGACTTTGATGCAATTTACTGTAAAAATAAGCATTTCAGTCAGAATCATGTTTTCGAAATTAGTTCTGTAAAAAAAATTGGCACACACACACACACACACACATTTATATGTATATATATATTGGAAACAAAAAAATGCCTTTTTGGCAGTTTCGCAATTTCTTAACCTTAAGAACACGACGTACGTGAATGACAGTGCCCTTCTTAATCCCAATATTTAAACATGTCCAAGAACAAGTAATATAGAATCGAATCAATTCACCATTTTCTTACCTAGTTAACAAAAGTTTAGAAAAAATAATCCAAACAATGCAAACCGCACAAAATATTGGTATTTCAGAAATGTATTGCTCCAAACGACTTAAACACGTGATGACAAAATTTGGTAGATATTACCCTTGATATCATCGCTTTCTTTTTGAATAGTTTTTGTTGTTTTGTCATGCCCCATTTTGCTACCTATTTGTAACGAAACGCAAGTGGTTTACCAAAAACACTGAAGCTCGAATATTTTTTCTCACGAACGCCATTTTAAAATTTTTATAACTTCTTTTATTGAAGCAAACAACCTCATCTGCAATTATTCGTCAAGAAACGTTGCATTATTTTGGTTATTATCAAATTTTTCACAAGTCACATGTGACTAAGTCCACCTGGCAGACGTGCCATTCGTTATGTGCTAAAATTGGATACGAGTCGTTCATATAATTGTGCGCTATATAATCACAAAACAGCAACCGAACAACAACACATGATCAGCTGGGTTGCATGCTGGTACAGCAATCTCTGTGTTGTCATTAGTCGTTCGAAAAATCCGCAGGCTCCATCCTTCAGGCGCTCGTATTACATGAGTGCCGTTTCAGATGATAACAGCGATCCCGAGGTTGAATGAAGTAGGCAAAGCATCGCTGTGAAACGTAAAGATTGTTAGGGTAGGGTGGAGTAAATTGTGACCAAAAATTTCAAATTGTGAATATTTATATGGATTTTCCTTCTTAAAATTAAACATCAATGCAGACAATTTCCTTTGGGTACAAGGTATGTGCTACACAAATATTGTCTTGTTGCCACTGTTCAAATCATTATTTTGAAAATATAGATGCTCCAGATGTCTCATTTCGCCCCCTGCGGGGAAAAATGAGGCGCTGCGTGGGTCAAAACGAGACAGTTTGAGGAAAATTCCTTCATTCAATTCTTGCAGTCAAAATACTTTGAATGCACCCTGTCGGCCCTTGTAGACAGTCTTCTACGCACCTTGCAGTTGCACCTAATCAACCTCTTATAAACGGGCTGCAATTAAAATTGGCCAGTAATCTCTAGGAAGGCTATTTATTTTTGGCCAAAAAAATCAAATTTTTGCATTGTCACTCAAAGTGAATCAAAATTTTCGGCAACCCTCATTCACCAGCTATTATTTTTGTGCTGCAAGTTAGTATAAATTCAAATTATCAAATAAAATGAAATTGATAAGACAAATACGACCTTTGTAAAATAATTAGAGCTTCCTACTGTCTATGCGCTAAAACTGTGAATGATTACTAAGCTTACAATTTCACCCATCAACCCCCCCCCCCCCCTCTATCGAAACGTAGAGCAACTACTGTTTGTAGTATACAGCGTATAAAGTATCGATCTCACTATTGATTATGAACGTAAAAACTAACGATCTATGAAGTGCATAAATGACAATAGTTTTGCATACTTTATGCAGTCACTCTTGCTTGCAAACTCTGCTCTGAATTATCCGTGTCACAAGGTTTTATAAAAAGTGTTATTGTTGACTCTAGTGTATGCGTATAATGATATACCCCATCAAGACGTGATGTTGATAACGAACGTCGAACGAGAACACCAAATATTACCATATCAAACACAGCAAGTAGCTTAGACAACAACCGCCACCACCTGAACACATTTACTACATTTTCTAATAGCGACTAGACTCCGAAAAAATAGACGACTCTGTTTTGCTCGTTATGGCTAATAGTAGCTTTCACTCAGTAATTTTCTTTCCGTATGAAAATCGCTGATATCACTCTTTATGACCAGTCTGCTGTGAAGACACCTGACAGTGAATCTTCTGGGACAGCTCGTGTTACGATATGCAGAAACGATCATTCGCAATCGCTCTAGCTCGCTTTCATCACCGACCGAATACGAGAGCATCCATTAGAGTGAAAGCGACAAAATCGCGAATGAAAGCGACAAAATTGCTAAGAGCAAAAGAGATTCATAAATGGTTGCAGACTAATATTGATGTCGTATATCGCCTGAGATTGACTATGACGTGGAGTGTGCCCTGCCTGTCCCCCTTTTTCTGACTTTCTTCGACGTTTGCCTTCCAAACGCCGCAATTACTTCCCGCAGCGCAGGGTAGCATGCCGGTTACTCGCAACTTGTTAAAGTCCCTGCCTTTCTCCCCTCTGCTGCTTTCTTCCTTTCTTCCTTCTTTTGTTCCTTCACCATGCCAACGTTTCCAGATGGCTGACTGAAGAGGAATAGACTGTATTATAGTTTCTCACAACCTTTTCTCATTAAGCACGAGATTGCAGAGCATTTTCGGCCTTGTAACTCTACGAAACGGCTCTGTGGTTCTTAAGAAAAGAAGGCGCTAATAGAGACACAGTCCATCTACGACAGTATACCCATCTCATATTGCGCCAACCACACAGGCCTAGAGCGCGCTTGTCCGAACGTTGAGCGGAGTTGTTCTTTACCTCCGCCACCCTGACAAGACAGCCGGAGACAAAGCGGCCTGGGTGCTGCCCGCCTGAGACGAGGCGCGCAGAGCAGACACCGCGTCGGGACGAAAGCCCAGGCGCGTTCTCTCTTGCGTGACATTCAGGGAGGCGAAAGTAGCGGACGTGAAAACGCGCGAACTCGGAGGAAAAGAGTCGCCGTCGCTCTTGCTCCGCGTGCGACAGCTCGCGATGATGGCGGCTGCATAAACAGAGGCAGAAAGACGCTCGGGATGAAGACAAGGTGGCATCGTCCGAGAAAGTGCTCAACGTGACCCGCAATGCCCCTCACGCCCCTTTGCCCCAGCCAGGGCTCATAAACCGTTCTGTCGCCGTGCGAAGACTGACGACGAGGGCTAGCCGGCGTCTTTTGAAGCACGAGTCGATGTAGCTGTGTGCGCTCAGGCTTAGCTAAGTTCGTAGCGGAGAAAAGAGACGCTCTTGGGGAAAAAATGAAACGGCGTGTCTAACGCGACGTTCACGCCATTTGCACTTCCTAAATGAGGCCGCGTTTTTGTACGCACAGCATCGGAAGGAGGTACAAGCGGAAAGTGGAAGGTAACTGAATGCCTCGCACCGCTAGTTTTAACAGCTCATCTCGTGAAAGAATTCTTTCACGGGACAACCAAAACACTTGGTGCACTGACAGGCAACAAAAGATAAACAAGGAAAAACTCAATTAACTTCAGCTGTATTATTTGCGATAAATAGTTTTTTTTGTTTTTTTTTGGTAGGTTATGTCGAGGCATATACCTTTAATACCGGCACGTGAGTACGAGACTCCTATTAGTTAAGCTTCAACGTTAACTACTTCCCGTCAAAGTTTTTTTTTTTTTTTCATGTATACGTTGCCCTTGAGATCGAACAGCGTGGGCAGCTAGCGGTGAACGAACGAAGCTCCGGCGTGTGTATGCTGGTGGCCCGTCGCCACTCCGTCAGCTATGTGTGTGTAGTTTGTGGTTCGAAAATTCACGATCGCAGCTGACGGGGACGTCCTTGTTGACATTGAGCAAACTCAATTTTTCTTTTTATAGTGGAAGTTTTAAAATTCAGTCGCTTCATTTTGTTTAAGCGATGCAAAAAACATATCCTTAATGCGACCACACCACATATATTTGTCTCTTTTCAACGTGTTGTGAGACTATCATTTGTATTTCCGCATCGCAGTACCCTTGTCCATGGGCACAATTCTGGCTCATGTTGGGCACGGTGTCAGGTTTATGGTCACTGGAGACTAAG